GTAGGCTGCCGACTTGCTCAATGGGTTGCCTGTTTCCCATTTCATCACCACAGTCGAGCATAGGAATTCTTCTTAACTAAAAATCGCAATAACATTAAAAAGTGATGGGATTTATCCAAATTGTGATCTTTTTGAGAAGCATTCTTTTTGTTAACTACGGTAGTGAAAAACAAGGTATCAGATAATTTTATTCTAACGAGTTTACGTTAGGTAAAATTCGATAAATTACCCTGCAACATAACTATCGTAAATACAATCAGACAAGCTGATTCGCTATAATGCAAGTGCTTCTGCAAAACAAGGGAACGACATGAGTGACCGTCACCATTATCGCAGCCGCCGACCCTCAACCAGCTCCAGTCCTCATCAGAGACACAGTCGAAAAACTCGGAGTCGTAGCAAAAGCAGAAGTGCTAGCTTCTCAGCCTCGTCGAAACGCATTCGCCATCATGACCCTTTCGAACGCGAACTTTGTAGACGCCACGAAGAGCACGCAATTAGTGAAGGCGCCGAAAAGCAGAAGCTTGACGATCGGAAGGAGGATAAGCAGAGACTGCGAGTTCGGAATGAAGTGGAATATGAAAATGAAGATAACGGCAGCTTCAAAAGCTCGGACAGGAAAAGCACGAACAGAAGTCATCGACACGACTCTTTCCACATTAATCATCGCCCGCACTCTTGTTCGTCATCGTCGTTGTCTAACTATGAGTCGGATCGCTCTGACGGACTTGATGTGAAACGTTCGCGTTACAAGCGAAAGCGTGAGCATAGTAGCTTGAAAAAGGATAAGAAGCGTCGCAGTAAGGAAAAAAAAACGAAAGAGAAGAAAAGTAAGAAAAGCAAGAAAAGTAGCAACAAAAGCGCTGTGAATCAAAACGAGTATGGAAAATTTGGCATATTGCGTGAATCGGATATTCACAGGAAGAGTGTGTCGTTTCAGGCGTGGCTACGCGACGTCAAGAAGCAGGGAGAGTTTAATGGGCCAAAATGGGAGGCCATGGAACTTTTTAAGGAGTACATGGAGGATTACAACACGTGCACATTGCCTCACGTAAAATATTACGATATTGAGCGATATGAGCTGAAGCAATATCAGAAAAAACAGGATAAGGCTCGCTCGAAGCACGGGGCTGCGTCCGATAAGGTTCTTGGAATGGTTGCCGATGAAGAGCGTGTACGACGCGATCGCCAGGCTATGCGCGAACAAAAGGAGCAGGAAGATTTTCGTCTTGTGATGCAGCTCATGGATAAAGACAAGATAAATGCAATGCGGGAGCAAGAGCGGCTCCGATCGCAAATGCAGATGTTCTATAAGTCAGGCAATGTTGAAGAGGCCCGCCGTCTCGAGCAACTTCTCAACAAAGTAAATGAGGACCCGCGAATTATGCCCTGAAGAATCAAATAAATAGCTCGCATTTGATTTGAGTGAATTTCCTTAGGATTTTTTTTGAAGCAGACTACATATATTAGGATTGTGTGCGAATGAATGTGTACCATGGATGACATTATCAGCAAAGACAAGAAGCAGCACCAAATCTTAGCAACAGACATTGCTTCATAATACGCTGCACACTATCAAATAATACGTTGGTCTGCATATTACACCCGAAGTCAGATTATACTATCTACGGGTGTCGTGGCACGTATGCAAACGGTATGTGTCTACAAAGGTGATAAGGTAAAGTATTGATCTAATGTGTCTGCAAATCGCTTCGTTATTTTGTGTCTGAGCTCGGCAAGCTGACGCATATTACGCTCGATCACGGATGATGCCACAGAAGTTAGAGCAATGGTTGAATATATAGCGCAGATTTCGTTTATGGACGCACGGCATGCAGTCGTTTCTGGAATATATGTCGATTTCAACGTACCTTGAGAGGGCATATAAATGCTTGTTCCAGTAAAAGTTTTCGTGAAAGAGGTTGGTGTCTGCTTCAGAAACGCGCAGTTTATTTACCGGCTGAAGCCATAAGTCTTCTGTAAATCGCTACAAGGTCTAAATTTGACGTGCCCATGATATTTTTCTACACCTACAATCGGACGGGATTGAAAATTGATGGCTTAAGGTAGGATGCAAAACCTGATAGTATTCTAAGTCTAAAAATAGTATTTTGAATTGATGTACTCGTTCAGAATCAGACTAGATAATTAGTACTCACACTCGACAATCCCCACCCTCAATTTTGTCAGTCCCAAAGTCCAAAGCCTTCGTACATCCAGCAGATTGGCAATAGAAAGCGCTACGCAATTGTTATCAAACAAGTATCATATACTATTCGAGCATTCGAATCACAATTTGGTGGTTGCCGTATTGTTAAAAGCTACTGCAGTGTCTGGAAGCGTTGGGGATTTGGGATCTTTGCGATGTAGTATGCCAGAACCACGATATCCATGTGTTAAATCAATTGCACACCACGGTTTCACGATGTACTTTTGCCTGGTTGATCCACGACGCACGATTTCACGTATTTACCACTTATTTGGTAAGCCAACACATGACCCTAACATCTGCACTGGCATCTGTAAGCAATGCGCTGCCGCGATTACATTAAAATAGACGAGACTGTTCGTATATACGAAGCCGGTATATTTCAGCCAGGACTATTGCTATATAAATGAAGTCATAACTTATATTTTTGTGATTTCTCTTTACTCCAAAATTGACATGGCTGCGATGTACACATGTACAGAACATAGTTTTTGCAGCCCTTTGTTTTTGCGCCAGTCAACTAATATGTTGGTGAGGTGCCGTTGGCTTTCGAAAGCATCCTTGTCCGCATTCTTCTTGACAGGTCGTCAGTTCCAACGCAATCGCACTCGATGCAACTTCTTATGTCAAATCATCTGATTTATATATAGGACATGGGGGTATTAGGTTTTAATCATGCATCCATTAACGTGGGAACGACTACTTCTATTCTACGCGACACGCAAGAACCTAGCGGCAAGGGCTGATTCCCAAAGGGACTGAATTAAAAATACTCACTGTACGCATCTAGTCCTGTTTTATTGATGCGTACCATTTGTGATATATTATCAAGAGAGATTTCGATCAAAGGGTATCTAGCGATATCTCACCTATGTAGTTCCACTGCTGAAGTGTAGAGAGTTGCTTATATTAATTTAATCAATTTTAAGAGTGACATTGTAGCTTGATATTGTTGTAATTCTGCGCGAGAAAAAAGTGCCACGATTTTGTTTCAAATGATTACGCAAAAGTTGCGCAGAGTCTACGTAATGAAGTTATGCTATCCAAAAGAGAAAATAATCTTCTAGTATCGAAAGTTGAATAAAGGGTGCAATCCCTAGTCCTGTGACAGCTTTTCATCCAATCCGTGCCGTATCGTTCGATTACGACAACACCAACTATTGCGCCCTAGTCCTACCATGCTTCTTATGGGTCACAGCCACAAATGTCTTACACAAGGCAATACGCGTAACAGAGCACGGATTGACTTTGCGGACTGCCTTTCCTTATCGTTGGACATTAGAACGTTGACATGGTCAGTTTTAGATTGCTAGACGTGGTCGGGCCTACTACCAAGGATTATCGTGCTTCGTTTGTCACAACCTCAACCAGTTGCTCTCGTGTAAGCAGCGGCGGTATGGAGTTGGCCATGGACGAAACGATGGGTCTTCGAAATTCGCGCCTCAGCAGCATTTATGGCGACACTAGCACTACTGGGCAGCGTTTCACAATTCTTGAAGAGGACTTAGAAGTGGATAATTCCTCACTTTTAAGGAAAATTTTTCAACAAGAACTATTCGAGCTGCACGAAGTGCGTGTGCTTAAGCAAATACCACTGCCCAACTGGATGAAGGTCTTTGCACCGCGCATTGTACGTTTGCAAACTGGCACGATGCCCTTTATGGAATACGCGCGGTCGGTTAAGAGTGAAGTGCGCCAATGTCAAATAATTAATATCTGGACATGTGTCGACCGCCTGTCCAAGAACAGACTGTCTATCGATTTTCGCCACCCTGCCGATGTCGGAAGCTCGGCTCCGAGCGCTAGTTCGATGAGTTCTCATGATGTGAACGACAGAGTAATGCGTGATAAGTGGATTCTTAAGTTTGAAAGCAAAAGTGAACGCGACAAGTGGGCTAAGTTGGTGCAGGATGCTATTGATTTACTCGGCTGGGCTGCCAAGTTTACGCTTGGTAGTCTGATAATGAAGACAGAAAACTCGTCTGTAATTGAATGCTCTACATGGGCAGATCGTGGCAAACCGTCCTACGTGATGAAAGTGATGGAAGCCTCATCAACAAAGCAGAGTCAGTTAGCTCGTAATGAGATTGAAGTTCAACGCATGCTGAGTAACTATGCGAGTCATCCAAATATTGTTGCTCTCTATGATTCATTTCATCAAAAGAACAAAACGTATCTTGTAATGGAAAATTGTATTGGCGGTGATCTTTTCGACTTTATCAGGCAGAATGGCGCCATGGATGAGAAAGAAGCTAAAACTCTTTTTCGTCACATCGCTAGTGCCATCAGTCATTGCCACGAGCACGGTATTGTGCATTTGGATATCAAACCCGAGAATTTCTTTTTTAAATCATCAACGACTCAGCTAGAGACTATCAAACTGGGCGACTTTGGCTCGGCGATGCAGCTAGACTCCAGCACTAGTAAGAAAGCTATGAGCTGTACAGTGGGTTACGCGGCACCTGAAGTTCTGCAAAATGGTTCGATCTCTGTCGCCGCCGACGTATTTAGTGCCGGTGCGGTATTGTACACGATTCTTTGCGGTTATGCTCCATTTAGCGCGCCCTCTGAAGACGAAATGCTTGAGCGGACTTTGTCTGGTGATATTGTGTTTGACGAACTTGAATGGTGGCGAATTAGCAAAGGTGCCAAGGATCTTTTGAAGTTGATGCTACACAAGGACTTAAATCGGCGTCCAAGCATGGAGGAAGTGCTGGAACATCACTGGTTTTCGTAATCATGATTGTGTAGGATAGGGAACTTATTTATACGCATTGTGCGATGGTAGCGTAATGACAAATTTGAATGACGAAGTGTCTATGTGCACAATTCTGCATTCCCTGAGTTACTATATGCACAACTCTGCATACCCTGACTGACTATGTGCACAATACTGCATAGTTTGTGCACAGCACGTGGCATTTCACACTTTCAAAGCCGCTGCGACAGATTAGGTAGCCAGCCAACTGAGTGTCAAATCTACCAATATGTTGCTCATGACTTTTGTTGCGTATGCAAATTTTATCATTGTTTCTCTGACGCAAAGGATACGTGCGCGCGGCTTGCTTGTCTTCTGGTTCATCAGAATTTGAACAGAGCAAAAAATTATACAGCACGCTCATCATCACTTGCACATTATTATCACAAGTTATGAACTGGCTAATAGTGACATTGTCTTTCTTACTCTATTTTAAGCGACGCTCCTAGTAATTATAGCAATGTTCCAAAAGGGTGATGATCTATTTATAGTATAACGAATAAATGAAAAATTTATGCTAGAGAAAATTCTGAAATTCAAACTATTTTTTGCTTTATTGGCATCTCGAAAAACACGTCCTATTGAAAAATCTTGAGTGCATTATTTTATTCAAAAGCTTTCTCTGTGCAAGATACCATGGTGCAATCGTTGCATGTGATGGCACTTGTAGTCAACCTGACAATGGTTGTTAAAAGACTGATTCTGTAGCGGGATGATAGAAGATTTGACTACCGTCTGCATGAACCAATGCACAACGTATTAAATCCGTCCTGTCGAACCGAGAGCCTCCCAAGTGCTCGTTATATACATACATCTTGCTTAAATTGACAAATGTTTGATTTAGAATTAGAGCCAGCTAAGAATAAAATTAGTATATCCGTTTCACTATGTATAATAAAAAACCGAGCCCATTGCGTGAGACGAGCAATCCGTATCGGAAAACCATCACTCCATCCATACCGATGACATTTCATCATAGTCTTTCCTAAGTCAAAGGGATCTCTATGTACCCTATCTTGGTAAATGCATCGGGGTTGCCGGGCACTGTGCACGAAAAAGTTTTACTCTTATCGTCCGGGCTCGCGAACGCGCAGTCTTGTGGATCATACGTTCCTGCCAGAAGTGGAGCCGAGCGTCGCTACTCTAAGTAGGTGTCTAGACATTCTGGTCAAATCGGACATGAAGACCTTTTTTGTAGATGGAGTAACGTCTCTAAAATCCCCTGTATCTGAGTTAATGATATAAGGGCCGTCTTATGCCGGCTCTG